ACCCTATAACTCTATGTGGACCAGACCCTAACTCTATGTGGACCAGACCCTATAACTCTATGTGGACCAGACCCTATAACTCTGTGTGGACTAGACCCTAACTCTATGTGGACCAGACCCTATAACTCTATGTGGACCAGACCCTATAACTCTATGTGGACCAGACCGTAACTCTATGTGGACCAGACCCTATAACTCTATGTGGACCAGACCCTATAACTCTATGTGGACCAGACCCTATAACTCTTGATCCCAGTGAATAAAATTCTGGTGTTCTGATGACCGTTCCTCAGTGTAAGACTGTAGCTGCCACGTTCAGTGAGCCCCCTGTTATAGCAGCGATCGTATTACCTGTCGATTCTCATCAAGCCCAAGCATATCACAGTTAATGAAGACAAATTAGGTATGTGTGTAAATGTAATTAGCTGTGGCTTGTGGCATCTTTCTGCAGGACGTGGACAGAGAACAACAGTGGGGWGGGGGCAATGGTCCAGATCTCTGGGCGACCCCTGTCCGATCTCACACCTGTCCAGTTTAAAGGGCCGCTGTCAAGGACGTCTCAGATGACTGTGTCACTGTCTCGCTGCAGAGCAATGCACGGGCTGGTATAAATAGAAGGTCCTCTGCACCCCGAAGCTATTTAAAGCAGCCGCTGAGCATGTATATCCCCCGTCTCACTCAATGTCACGATGCCTTGAAACCACAGGGACACCAGGGAGCTGCTGGAACTTACTTACTTGGAGAATTCAAACTTGGGAAACCGAATGAAATTCTTGATGTAGATGGTGAAGTTTTCTGCGTCACTCAGCAAGGGCTTTCTGGAGGAAAATAAGCATGAGATTAGAAGAACATATATTTGAGAGATATCAGAGGAAGTGTGGCTCAGAGAAGCAAATTTTTAACGTTCTGTATAAGAGATAAATTCTCACATAGGTCTCTTGCTGTGTTCAAGAGGACACCAAGCGTGGATCTCACAGGTCCCTGTGCTGTTCACACACAACCCAGTCTTTATTCCTGATGGAGACAACCAGATTCATAGTTTGTATGATGCATAATACACACTGAGCCTGTTGAAAGTGAAAGGAAATCCACATCGTTTTTTTTGAGTGAAGGGTATTTTCCTAATCTCATGTGATATTGCAAGGTCCTGCAATCCTGTGATGTTGCTCCAAGGTTGTGTTGAGGATGACTCTCAGCTACCACAACACCAAGTTTTAGCTCAATATCTGTAAAGTTTGTGTTATAATAAATTTTTAGTTTTCTTGGTTGTGGTGGACCTCTTGAATCATGACTCTGAAAGTTAATTCTTTATAGCTGTGCATCCAATTATRACTTTCTGCAAGTTTTATTAAAAYTCCTCCATTGATTCATGCCATAGTTTGGCAAAAATGCACACACAAGTGTGTATTTCTATCCTTATTAGGACTGTGTATTGACTTTCATTCATTTCTGTACACTAACTCTGACCCTTACCCTCATATTAATAACTAACCCTTCATACTTAGGTCCTACCTGACCCAAAAATGGAGTTCCACCATATTAGGGCCAGGCTTTGGTAMACAAAAGGACTACTGGACCAAGTTTTTACATCAGAAAGGGTCATAAAAACTAGTTCACATAGACAGAGCCTGGTGAAAACCAGCTCCTTGTTCTTTGCTTTGCTTCCTACAGAGGGTCTGGAACCTYGGCTACTGAGTAATGATTTCTTGCTGGAGGCGTGGACTCTGTTGAAGTTTAAAATGATTGGATCTGATTTACCCAACCGCTAACGTTTGGCCGTGATGTATGCAGTGCGCCAGTTCGRCCGTGAAGGCTAAGCTAAGAAGCTAACCAAAAATTGTGTGTGCTGTAAACAACCATCCCCTACTGAGAAGAGAGAAGTACTAAGCCAAACAAGATGGCTGTAAATGAGTGCTGCAGGCGTTGTGAGACTAATTTAATTAAATTTATTTTAATTTAATTTAATTTAATTTGGAAGCCTTGTCAACACGAACGGGCTTCGTTTATTTCCTCCACTGCCATTGCTGRACTACAGACGGACTAAAACAGCACCGAAAATTGACGCCATTGTTCACAACTCCTATTTCTGTTTGCTGATTGGGATGGCTGAAATCCAAGTCAATAGGAGAAAGCACAGGCGGAGCAGAGAAGGGATGGCCAGGCTGAGACAGACCCATGTGTGCCCTAATGAAATCATTACTGTGGGTATTTAATATTTCGGTTTCAAAATAAGTGCACTGACAAAAAGTCCTGACAACTATTTTGATTGCAGATAAAAACAACAACCAGCCCTCACCATTCCCAGCYGTCACACTCTCTCCTTCCAGACAGTCATCATCACTTTGACACTGACCATCTGGCACCTTGGAACTCTGAGAGAGAGAAAAAAAGGGCTTTTAGGATTAAAAAAAACAATTCATTGTAACAAGAAAAAGTAGACAGATTATTATATATMTCTACTGACCTCAGCACAGAAACCCAGCCTCTGATTGGGGGTCTCTATGTAATTTGTTACTATGAAGAAGACTTGCTCACCCTAAAAAAAAGTCCAGTCATGCCCGGAGAGAAAACACAAAAGGTTAAACTAATTAGGCTCCAAGACAAGCTCAATTGTRTTAAAGTTATTGAGAAGAACGCTGAAGCTAACAATACATGACAGAACTGATGCTTAACATCCGAWTCTGTCTCAGCAGGACCAGGACAGAGGCAGACTCACATTTGGAGGTATGACGTAATCCTCAGCGCTCCACAGGTACGGCCCCGCCTCAGAGGTGTTGGTCTGTGTGACCCCTTTCAGTTTGGTGATGACTGAGCTCTGGATGGCCTCCTCTCTTTCCTGGTATCCTTTCTTCACAATAAACACCCACCTGAGGCGTGAAAGAGCTCCATCGTTCATTGAGTTTTAGAAGCCTTCTCTTGGCTTTGACCAGACAAAAAGAGCACGTTTAATGCTGGCAGGAACATCTCACAGGTTCTGCCATAAAACTGTGTATTAAACATAAATGAAGTCAAACAGAAAAGCTGAATCTTCCAAGGAGTGACTGTCCCAGAATGTCAGACAATGCAGTCCTCAGAGAAAGAGAGCTCCATCTCAAGGCTGATTTTCTTTTGTCTTCTTTTGTCTTGCTTAAAAATGCTTGCTTAAAAATAGTGTAACATGGTTTCTGTTAACGTCCTACCAACACCTCATCTTGTTCATTGGCCCCAGTCAGAACTCTGACCAATCGGACAACGCAGTTCAGTGTCTGAGTTTGGTATGGTAGTATGGTTGTCTCTCGGCATTCAAAGTGGTCGACAAAGTAAGAATTTCATTGCTCAGGGAAACATGTTTTCATCTGTGTATTTGTCAATAAACACTTTGAATCTTTGAATCTTGACTGGTCAGAAATTCGTGATGTCATTTTGCTGAAAATGGTCGGCTTCCAGTTGTTGCTTTTGCAAGAATATGTTGTAAATATTTGTTATTAATAAAGATTAAAAAAAACAGAAATCGGTTGTTATATTAGCAAGAGGCACAGCTTCGAGGATCAGCTCGTCTGGTTCTATTGAGCAATCAACTTCCACGACTGCTTTCCATCGCCACGGTTAACACCGAGTATCAGCACAAACACCTCATATCAGGAGGAGGGCTGATGATTTAGCTACAGGACCTGGAATGATTTCAGAGCCAAACGTGAGGCCATCTGTCCGACAGCTGAAGTTTGGACTGAATTTAATGATAATGAAACTGGACAATGATCCTAAACACATCAGAAAATCTGACTGAAATGTTGTGGTGGGATCATCCAAAAACAGGGCCGGAAACAGGAAGTTAAAGGACGAGTAGTCCCTAGTTGGTTGGTTGGAGTATTTTTGATTTGTGACCTTCACAATTAAACCAGGATCTTGGTCCTCAAGGGCCACTATCCTGCATGTTTTACCTGATTCTCTTCTCCAACACCCCTGATTCAGTGACTGAATTACCTTTCCAGGTTTTGCAGAAACCTTCTAGTCATTCAAATCAGGTGTGTTGGAGCAGAGACCATGCCCGTGAGGACCAGGATTGGACATCCTGATCTAAACAAACATTTTCCAGACTAAAAATTAAAAAAATACACATCAGATCTTTCTTTTTTTTTTTCAAATCTTAATTTGTGTTGATTTTTGTAGCTCTTCCTTTGCTTGTGATAATGATGTACTTTATTTGCCATAATACATAAAAAAAATCCCAGACAATAAAAAAGAAAAACACACATTACAAAACAACCCTATTATTTCCTGTCCTTTAACTGACTTTATGCTTTTTTTTCAGTATGCTTAGTTTCAGTCAGGGCCCTAGTCAATTTGGTGTTCTGGCAGGATTTCCTACTGCAGTCTTCTAAATCTCACTGCTAATTTACATCCATTCAAGTATCAAAATAAATAGTTTTGTCTTTGATGTTACTTTTTATCTTTAGATACCAGGTTGTCTAATTAAAATATTTAATATAATTCTTTTGAAACTGACATCTGCTGACATCAACGAGGAACATCTGTTCATGTCAACCAGCAGCTGCGGAGTGAAGCAGTTCTAGGGGACATCCAAGGATATAAACCCCTGGAAAATTTCGTAAAAATTTTTTTTACTCAAAACTCTGCCTTTTCCAGTCATTCGATGAGCATTTTATTGAATTCTTGAGATCAATAAAACAACATAAAATCAGTATTTTTTGAAGATAGAGCACTGAAAACCAGACTTTAACCTGAACTTTATCTGAGATCTGAAACTTCCATTATCCTTATTAGTTTTCTATTTACGCACTGAACATCAGTAGTTAGTCTTGACTGCATCATATGATACTACCATGAAATATCCTCTGCACCATGTAACCTCATGTAGTAACAAATCAGCTGAGAAACCTACGAACAAGTTCATAAACCTGAGGAACCAGTGATTATTCTACAGACTAAATTAAATATATACATGAAAATTTTCCGTCCTCCATTTGTGGCACCTCCTAGCCGAATGGCGCCCTCAGCATTTGCCTATACTGCCTATGCCATGAACCGTCCCTGGTTTCAGTCAGCAATTTGAGGCTTGAAAAGTGTCCCATTACACTGTGATTGACCAACTTAGCCTGTTAGCAAGCTGAGTAGGTGTGACTTTCCTATCGAGGACACAACTCCACGTTTGTGGAGACTCCAAAACTCCCACATGACAGCTCCCAAAAATACAGACAGTTTGGCTTCGATTGAACGACAGGGTAGAGACGCTTCGTCCATCGTTGTTGACAGGTGGGACAGTCAAACCTTGTAAAATGGAGCGGGCCAAAATTTCTCCTTTACTGCGAGAGACTCATACGGTTGTACATTAAAAAAAAACACTGTTACAGGAGGTTCTAGCATCTGTTCAAACAAAAGGTGATGTTTAATGTTGGAATCTGTTGTGATCTTGTACACTCAGAGTTGAACAATTTTAGAACCTCTTAAAGCTCAAATTATTTTATTATGTCCTTATACGTACAGGTATAAAGTATTTAAAAGAAATAACTCGTAAAAGTAAAAGTACCTTGATAGAAAATGAATTTCACTGATTAAAAAAAGTACAGTCTTAGCTGCTCACATTAATCTGGGAAGTGTAAGTAAAAGTACTTTTGTATATACTCTAAGAAATGAAGTTTTAAATTTACTTAAATGGTTTCACTAAACCAAGTTGAGTTAATAATTTTCATTTACTCATTTCGGTTTGATGTATCTTGGTTGTGTAAATCCAACACTTCAATTTTAGAGTGCATAAACAACTCTTTTCATGATRAGCTCTGTAAATTTGTATTTTGTAACTGGATGTTAAATTTTAAAGTGAAGAAATGAACGTATCATGTTTGTGTTTTGAATGTAACAAAATGGAAGCAAAAGTTATGATTAAAAGAAATACTTTGTAAAAGTTACACATGCTCAAATATTTATTATAAAAGAAAGAAGAACCCTGACAGTTCCTTCCTCTCAGGACTGTGTCTAGTGGTTATTATTGTAGAAGCACACTCAAAAAACAGATCGTTGGATTTACTGGAAAGCAGCTTTCACATTTATTTTTAAAGAAAACGTGAAGGTTGCTTTACACTTACTCAGCTCAGCTGAGTGGGAATTGTTGACTTAAGTAAATCCAACAATCTGTTTTTTTGAGCGCATGCATGAGGCAATAAAAGCAGGAACAGGAGACGTGCACGTCRCTAAGCGAAATAAAACTTTACAACCTTCACCCTGCAGCAGCCACCGTCCTCATGGTGGAGCTAACTGAGTCAGCGTTATTATTTTGGATTCGTTTGAAACATTTCTGTTTACAGCTGATTGCACCTGTTGGACATTACAAAATAAACGGTTGAATAATTACATTATCGGTGACTCAAGCAGCTCTTTGCAGTTTTGAAAGTTAAAAAAACTAATCTGCTGTGCTWCTTTAACACCACCAGCAACGCAAAAACCTTCCATAAGCTCACCTATTTTTAACTTTGTGCATCACTCTCACTGCTTTTTTTTTTAAACTCCATGCTCTCTATCAGGGGTAGGGGGGCATGCAGGGGGGATCTCACCCGATTATGTATCCCAGCACGGCCAGCTGATAGAGCCGGAACAATATTCCAATTCTCCTGTTTTCAGCGATGACATATTTCTCTGTCTTGTAGTTGAGGAGCGAAACGAAGAAGCCCCCCCAGCCAGCCATGTGTGCCCCCAGCCTGCAGCAGAGTGAGACAGCAGCTCCCAGCTGAGCTGTCCAGCCTGACAGGCAGCGGGCAAACCCACTGAGACCCACTGACAGGGGGTCTCATAGACTTRTTAAATGGTTTAAAACTGCATTCACACCATGTTTTCATTTTTATTCTGTCCATTTTCTGCTGTACTTCTGCAYACTTTSTRTTAATTTAATAATTTATTCATTAAAATCTTCAGCTCATTCAGGAGACAAGTGCTTTATAACTTTTATAATTATTAACATTAATTAACAAATATGCCCCCATAGAAATACACTGAGATTTCCTCAGTTCCCTCAGAAATATTCTCTTTGAAAGAACACCTTCTCTGTTTTTGTCTTCTCTTATWTTTTATGCTTTGCAGCAAAATATTTGACGATTTTTTTTGCTTGAAACCAAACTTTTGCGACTTAATGCAATTTGTTTACTGCTAACAAGCCTTCTGCTGCAATTGGCCAGCATTTTGAGCCTTTTGCATTTTCTTTTATTACTTTTTGCTTTCAGCCAGCATTTTGTTAGTTTTAGCATCTAGATGGCTTTTTAAACCTTGTCTAGTGTTTTTATATTTTTATTTTGATATTTGTACCTTTTAGCTATTGCTTGTTATAGCTTTTAGCTTGTGTTTTGCTACTTTTAGCCTGCCTTTTGTTAGTTTTAGCTTCTAGCTGACCTTTTTATAATTTGTCTTTAGATTTTAACTAGTATTTTTGCTATTTACCTTATAGCTAATGCTATAGCTTTTAGCTTGTGTTTTGCTACTTTTAGCCTGCCTTTTGTTAGTTTTAGCTTCTAGCTGACCTTTTTATAATTTGTCTTTAGATTTTAACTAGTATTTTTGCTATTTACCTTATAGCTAATGCTATAGCTTTTAGCTTGTGTTTTGCTACTTTTACAGACAGTCCCTAAAACAAGATTAAGTCATGAAAATTGCATTAGTAAATCTGAAATACAACCTATTATTAAGAACCAAGTAAAACCTGAATGGCAGAGAATGGGAGGAGGGAAATAAAGGTTATTGTTTGTTTCAAATCCAGCAGACAGGAAGGATGGAAATAACTGGAGGAAGTACAAAAAATAAAAATAAAAATCAAGCAGTGATTATATACAGGGTTGAATAAAACATTACATTTAGTGGGCAACTATCTTAACAGGTAGAAGTGAGTGTAAAATATAGGGTGAGTATAGAAAAGTTTAAAAGCTTCAGAYGCCTCACAGCAAGGTGGTCCTGGGTTTGATCCCTGGTTCAGACCTGGGGTCTTTCTGTGCAGTTTGCACTTTCTCCTCGTGCCTCCATTTGTCTTCAGACCCAGGCTGCTCTTGAAAAACAGATCTGTGATCTCAGTGGGATTTGCCTGGTTAAATAATGGTACAATCAAAAAAACTATTTTAAAACTGAGAACAGCTCTCCTTAAATAATGATTCTTAATTCTCCACGTTAAAGAGCATCGTGTCAGTGCCAAGAGTTTTTTGTCCACATGCAGAGACAGAGCTGCAAATGTTAATGTTAGAAATTCCCTCCTCTTTAGGAGAGAACTGTCCAGAGCCACTGGCTCAGTTAACCATAGGCGTAATTTGCAGGGGGGTTAGGGGGGTTATGACCCCCACAATAATTTGATCCAGTCAAAAT